CTTTTTACAGATTCAGACTAACACGGCTACCCCTCTGATACTTTCTTAAAGGTGGTTACAATATTGGCATTCTTTAGGCGGAGTGGAATTTCCTCATTAACCCAAATCTTAACAAGAAGTTGATAAAGTTTTTGCACAACTGCTATTCCACCAGCTTTGAAGACCCCACCGGGGGGCCATCTGGGCCTCGTTTCTTGTTGTTCCTAGTCTGAGTGATGGCTTCAGAAGATTGGGGGTAAGCAAGAGGTTCTATTACTGGATGTTGAGGAATGGACTTGATGGTGGCAGCTGAGACTTCAGATTCACGGTTCAAAAGAGTCTCGAAATGCTCCCTCCAGCATTGCTTGAGGGCTAGATTGACCTTTAAAAGGGTGGAGTTCTCCTGGGATAACAGAGGAGTTGTGCTATTTGAACTTGGCTATAGATGGCTTTAATTTCTTGAAGAAAGCATAGCAGAAGTGAAATGGCTGCCAGGAATGGGACATGCATACTTCAGTACCAGATAGGAAAGGATCTGATAAAAAGGTCAAGTGTGGGTGTCACCAAATTATTTTGTGTTTGCTAAGTTTGTCCTAAGCTCAACCTTTGCCCTAGTGAAGACAAGACCTAAGTTCCCCCACTATTCTTGTGCATTTGTCACACAGTTCCCCAATGCTTAGGAAAGGAACAGTCCTATGATCCCTCACAGGGATTCCTAGGGGCATCACTCAAAAGAGGGAGGCATTATCTTAACTCTGCATGTCCTGGGTTTCAGAGGGTTAAATTAAGCTATGCTTAACATTCTGGAAGAGCACAAGGCATCACTGGGCAACCTCAGCTCCGTGTTAAAGTTTTGGGGCAGTGAATTATGTAATGAAGGTCAGAATCTGCTCTTAGTTGCATCCTGAGCTTCCTAGAATTCAGAGCCCCACCTCCAATCCTCAGAGTGACCTTTCAACCTCTGCAGCCACACACTATATCCTTACACAGCTGCTACCGAGAGGGAGGCTGTCAGGACTCGATTGTGAAGTGGTGCCCACTAGTGCATCTGCAAGGTCAGAGGTTGAGGCCTCAGGTGAAAATAAGGCAATGAATGTAAACAGATCAACTGCTTACAACAGAGTCTGCAACTGAATTCCCTTTCCTCCCCAATATCCCTCATCATTAGTGTCCTCAACCTCATCTTCTCTCCTTCTACCCTTCCAGCTCTAACAAATATGTGCTGGGGTGAAAAAGCTCTTACCTTGTCACCATGACCCTCATTTCCCTTGTTGTCTGCCTTGGAGTCATCCTGAGGTGAATTCAGCACACTCTTCGTCTTATTTACATGCCACAGCATTATTGCTATTGCTACTACTCCCACTATCAGAGCCTGATGTGAAAGATAAAAACATATTAAGGTGAATGGAAAAACAATATGAACAGACAGAAACTGGTGTGTCCTAGTTTGTAATCTCCATATCAAAGGGGCGATTACAGCATGAACACCATGTTCTGTCCTCTTTGCAGCCCCAGAATATGAAAAGCATAAATGGCAGCACCACAAGCTTCCCACAGACGGATAGATAACCAGCCAACTAAACAGCCTCACTCCTGCTCAAGAGAGAGAATAACGAGGGAGTAGAAATCCATGAACATTCAACATTCCCCTGTCTACTGAGAATTCCAGCAAGAGAGCTGATTGGGGCAGGTTTTCAAAAAACTCAACTCCCATTTAGTTACTAGTAGTATCCAGCCCCTCCCTTCTGTCAAAATGAAATGGATGAGATAAGAGATTCATCATGAGATAAGGGGGATCACATCAGTGAATGTGACCTCAAAGGTTATGATGACACAGGATGAGGTGTTAAGGCACAACATAACATCTAGTACATTTGCATATCTAGTACGGCATCATTTTCTGTGAGATCGTATCTGGCGACTGAAGCTACACTCTTAATGGTTTCGTTATCACCCAACCTGTTTTAAGTTTTACGGTCATGTCCTGTTCCCAGTGAACAGGTGGTTCCCTTGTCAACAGTCTCAGCAGAAAAGGACAAAAATTAAATCCTTTTGGATGCTTAATTACACTCAGTTTTAATGAGGGTTCTTGGTTCACAGTTAAGGCACAATTTCTGAGGCATGGTAAAGTAATGCTTGCACAGCCAATGATCACGCAATACGTGTAATTAGGATAAATTTCCCTCCCGCAGCAGCCTCCTCTATCTCCTATTATTTTTAGGGGTATCTGGGAAAAAAACAAATTAGAAGTTTCATTAATTAATTACAGTCATGGTGGTAGCACCCCATTGTTCCCTGCTATGCACTCACTCCCACAGCTGTATACCCTTCCCTCTGCTGTGTCCCGCCTCCCTGGGTAATCCCTTCCCTCGTGCATGCCCTTTCCTTCCCCTTCACTGGCCAGCCCCTTCCCCATTTTCCCGCTTGCCATCCTCTCCCCCCCATTTCTTCCCCCATTCCAGCCCGCTGGACATCCCCTTGGCCCTGCTGCTGACCATCCCCAATCTCTCCTCCTGCTGGGCATTCACTCCTTTTTTAAATCATTATCCTCTGCAATTTCTTTCTAGTCTAATAAGAAGGAAGAATTTAAATGTTGTAATAAAAATGTATGAATAATCTGGTCTTTAGACATGTCTGTACTAAAAAAGCAATAGGTTCCAGTTTCTGCAGAAACTGCGCCATCTACTCAGGACACTCCCTACCCTAACACAGGAACAAATCAACATACCCTTAGAGCCCCGACCGGGGTTATTCTATCTACTACCTAAGATCCACAAACCTGGAAATCCTGGCTATGTACATTGGCCAAACTGGACAGTCACTACGCAAGAGGATAAATGGACACAAGTCAGATATCAGGAATGGCAATATACAAAAACCTGTAGGAGAACACTTCAACCTCCCTGGCCACACAATAGCAGATGTAAAGGTAGCCATCTTACAGCAAAAAAACTTCAGGACCAGACTCCAAAGAGAAACTGCTGAGCTCCAGTTCATTTGCAAATTTGACACCATCAGATCAGGATTAAAGAAAGACTGTGAATGGGTAGCCAACTACAGAAGCAGTTTCTCCTCCCTTGGTGTTCACACCTCAACTGCTAGCAGAGCACCTCACCCTCCCTGATTGAACTAACCTCGTTATCTCCACACTGATTTATACCTGCCTCTGGAGATTTCCATTACTTGCATCTGAAGAAAGTGAGGTTCTTACCCACGAAAGCCTATGCTCCCAATACTTCTGTTAGTCTTAAAGGTGCCACAGGACCCTCTGTTGCTTTTTACAGATTCAGACTAACACGGCTACCCCTCTGATACAAAAATACGTCAGTAATCTGCATCATGATCCAGTCATTTATGTTAAGGATAAGAAACTGGTCCTGGCCCAAAAAGAAATTGATTTAAATCTCAGTCAAATCTCAAAAGGGGAAACTGCAAGTATTAGAATAAAGGGGAAAATGTCCATATAGGAAGCTTTAAGAGCTAAAGGTAAAACTGAACAAGTTAAGGGACGTGGAGGTGAAAGTAAGGCCCGGTCTACACTTAAAAATTAGGTCAGGGTGGTGAAAAATTTCTGAGCGCTGTAGTTTGGCCAACCTAACCCCTGGCATAGACATGGCTAAGTCAATGGAAGGATTCTTCCATCAACCTAGTTACTACCTCTTTGAGGGGTGGATTAACTACATCGACAGAAAAAACCCTTCTGTCAATATACAAAGCGTCTACACCAGGAGTTCTTAACCTTGGGCCGCAGCTTGTTCAGGGTAAGCCTCTGGCGGGCCATGAGACGCTTTGTTTACCTGAGCGTCCGCAGGTACGGCCGCTCACAGCTTCCACTGACTGCAGTTTGCCGTTCATGGCCAATGGGAGCTGTGGGAAGTGGCACGGGCTGGGACACCGCTTCCCGCAGCTCCCATTGGCTGGGAATGGTGAACCGCAGCCACTGGGAGCTGCCAGCGGCCAGACCTGCAGACGCTCAGGTAAATAAAGTGTCTCGCGTCTGCCAGGGGCTTACCCTGAACAAGCTGCGGCCCAAGGTTGAGAATTCCTGCTCTACACTACAGTGACACAGCCACAGTACTGTGACTATATCGCTGCAAAGTAGACATGGCCTAATTAGCATGCAAGTTCTTCAAGCCAAAATTCAAGAAAGGGAGTGAGCTCTCTGAGAAAAGGTTTGAGAGCAGCAAATATAATCTTTAGAACATTCCTCCCCCTGTATATATAATTATACTAAGGTTTTGTGTCTACTCTGAGGTTGGGGTGATGCTAAACCCATTTAGTTAAACTGGTGCAACTTTGTGTGTAGACTAGAGTTCAGAATATAGAAGAGGGAGGACAGGAAAGGAACTGGAGCAGGACAACAGGGTACCGAGAGACATTCTACTATAACTAATGGTGGAGGGGGTACCCCAAGATCAGCTAGAGGAACATAAGACTGAATTGAGAAATGTAGAGAAGCAAAAATATATCTGGAAAAACAAATCTCCCAGCTCTGCGCGGAATGAGAGACAAATGAAATGTGATAGGACCAGCAGGATCAAATGAGAAAAGAACAGGCGGGTCTTATGAAGTGCATTGAGAAGGAGTAGCATCCCCCCTCCAGGTCAGTAAGCCCCAGCTCCCACCTCTCTCCAGAATCATTGCCATTTGCTCCTGCCACTTATCAAGTGAACCCTTCTCTTCATGTCTTCAGCCAGCAGGGGCTCAACTCCACTATGTCCATGTGGTTTCTGCCCCTCCTTTCTGTAAGCCACAAGTCACAGAACCTGCTCTTCAAGCAGGGCTTCCACCCCCACTAATGGCCAACAGTCATGTATCCCTGTCACTAATGGACACAAGTTCCTACTTCTAAACAATACAGTCCTGCACCCCCTCAGGCCCCTTTCTCCCCTCAATGGACCCCTGCCCCTTTTGCAAAGACCCCATGGCTACTAATCCACGGTTATCTGGGCAGGCTCTCAGTCGTCAGCTAGATCTGTCTCTGTCCCTCACCAGCAGGGCCCAGCTTCTATTACTAATCCATCCACCTGTGCTTCCAATCAAGGGAGCCCTACTTCTTTCCTGGCCCTGCAAACTGCACCGCCAGGCATGTCTGGGCAGATGGGGTTTGTAGAAGGGGGCGTCATCACCTTCTGAGCACCCCCTTGTGACTGAGTGTGACTTTACTGCAACCTGCCTCAGTTACCCCCAACAAGGTCAATTAAACAGCTCAATCAAGGTGAAGCCCACAGAATACTACTTTGCAGCATCTCTCTCTCTTTAATACAGAATTCTGATAGCAGCACTTGTGCAGAGTTTAAAGGCTCTTACATCAGAACCCAGCTAATACTTAAAAGGCCCAAAACAAAAGTCTCTATGTTCCAGCAGCAACAGCTCTTCTGCTGGGAGGCCTTAGGCTACTCCATGGCCTGAAGAGCTCTGCAGTCTTTCCCCTGCTTGTTCAGGGTCTCTCTCAAGCCTCCCTACATGGAAAACTTTTGCCTCATTCAGGCTCCCTAGGAGCTCCCCTCCTCTGGAGCTTCCCCCTAAACTGAGCTCTCCTAAGACATTTATTAGGCCTAGGTGCTCCTTACGTAATTAACTGCCTTCCAGCTACTTAGGGCAGGCCTGTCCTATGATGGGGTTCCCTAAACACCATCTGCTGGGTGACATGGACAACAACAATCATCAATTCAGCCTAACACAGTGATGGAAGGGCAAGGAATTATTTATGCTCCTCAGTAACAGAGAAACAAACAAACAAACAGAGAGAGGGCAAATGGGAGGTCAAGGAACCCACCTATGGTGTTATGGGTAAGAATAAAGCATATGGGGATAGGTCTCTTTGGAGGGAACACAATGTCACTATTGGCATCCCCACTATGAGAGAGGAAAGAGACTTCATAAATACTGGGGCTACGGTCGTGATAATAACTGAAAGAGGAATTTTCCCAGAGAGAGACCACAAGAGGTGGCTGATGTACCAAAACCCCTCACTGAGGGGAACTAATCAGAGCAATAAACCCATATTTTGCTAATGAGGCTTCTAGGATAAGCAGGGCCACATGAAGGGACTACCTAAGGGCAGCCCCTCTTCTCTAGACCAAAGCTTGTGTGAGCTTTCTCTTCCCATGTCAGTGTAAAGATACTCTCTCCCTGGCTCCCAGGTGACTGGCAAGTCAGAGCTGCCCACACTGAGGCCCTCTGCTTCTGAATAAATGAGATAACATCTCCAGGCATGGACAAGGCCTCACTGGGAAAGCGGAAACTGATCCTATGTCCAGAGAAGCCTGGAAACTTCAGGAGACATAGAATGGAATTGCCTTCCCTGGGTACAGGCCAGGATCATCCAGCCAACCCACACTGCCAGAAGAGGAAAGAGCCTGTCCTCGAGCTGAGGAGGATGCAGTGGGGATACTAGTATTTCCACTACAAGATCCCCTGTCAAAGGTGAAGAAAGGTTCCATCTACACTAACCTGGGGAAGTTCACCCAAAAATACCGCCCTTCCCACCAGCAAGAAACCAGATGCAGATTCCCAGCCCAGAGAACAGCACAGCAGAAGTGAAACAGACTGCCAGGAATGGGACATGTGTACTTCAATACCAGATAGGAACGGATCTGATAAAAAGGTCAAGTGTGGGTGGCACCAAGTTATTTTCTGATTGCTAAGCTTGACCTAAGCTCAACCTTTACTCTAGTGAAAAGAAGACCTGAGTTTCCCCCCACTATTCTTGTGCACTTGTCACACAGTCCCCCACTGCTTAGGAAAGCAACAGTCCTATGATCCTCACAGGGATTCCTAGGGGCATTGCTCAAAAGAGGGAGGCATTATCTTAACTCTGCATGTCCTGGGTTAAGAGGGTTAAGTTAAGCTACTCTTCACATTCTGGAAGAGCACAAGGCACCACTGGGCAACCTCAGCTCTGTGTTAACAAAGTCCTCGGGCAGAGAATTATGTAATGAAGGTTGGAATCTGCTTAGTTGCATCCTGAGCTTCCTAGAATTCAGAGCCCCACCTCCAATCCACAGAGTGACCTTTCAACCTCTGCAGCCACACACTATATCCTTACACAGCTGCTACCGAGAGGGAGGCTGTCAGGACTCGATTGTGAGGTGGTGCCCACTAGTGCATCTGCAAGGTCAGAGGTTGAGGCCTCAGGTGAAAATAAGGCAATGAATGTAAAAAGATCAACTGCTTACAACAGAGTCTGCAACTGAATTCCCTTTCCTCCCCAATATCCCTCATCATTAGTGTCCTCAACCTCATCTTCTCTCCTTCTACCCTTCCAGCTCTAACAAATATGTGCTGGGGTGAAAAAGCTCTTACCTTGTCACCATGACCCTCATTTCCCTTGTTGTCTGCCTTGGAGTCATCCTGAGGTGAATTCAGCACACTCTTCGTCTTATTTACATGCCACAGCATTATTGCTATTGCTACTACTCCCACTATCAAAGCCTGATGTGAAAGATAAAAACATATTAAGGTGAATGGAAAAACAATATGAACAGACAGAAACTGGTGTGTCCTAGTTTGTAATCTCCATATCAAAGGGGCGATTACAGCATGAACACCATGTTCTGTCCTCTTTGCAGCCCCAGAATATGAAAAGCATAAATGGCAGCACCACAAGCTTCCCACAGACAGACAGATAAGCAGCCAACTAAACAGCCTCACTCCTGCTCAAGAGAGAGAATAACGAGGGAGTAGAAATCCATGAACATTCAACATTCCCCTGTCTACTGAGAATGCCAGCAAGAGAATTGACTGGGGCCAGGTTTTCAAAAAACAACAACAACAACTCACATTTAGTTACCTGTAGTATCCTAGGCACATGGCTTCTGCCTCTCCTTTCTCTAAGGCCCAGGTCACAGCACCTGCTCTTGAAGCAGGGCTTCCACCCCACTAATGGGTAACAGTCACGTGTCCCTGTCACTAATGGACACAAGTTTCTACTTCTGAGCAAGACATTCCTGAACCCCCTCAGGCCCCTTTCTCCCCTCAATGGACCCCTGCCCCTTTTTCAAAGACCCCGTGGACACCCACTCTGGCTTCTAATCCACAGTCATCTGGGCAGGCTCTCAGCCAACAGATAGATCTGTCTCTGCCCTCACCAGCGGGCTTCAGCTCCCCTTGCTAATCCCTCAGCCTGTACTTCCAATCAAAGGAGCCCCTCCTTCTTTCCTGGCCCTGCAGGCAGCACCTCCTGTCTAGGAAGACGGGGTTTGCGACTGAGTGTGTCTTTGCTGCAACCTGCCTCAATTTTTCCCAATGACCTAATGAGTTCACTTAAACAGGCCAGTCAAGGAGAAACCCATAGAATACTGATACTTTGCAGCAGTCTCTCTCTCTTTTGAATAAAGCCTTCTGAAAGGAGCACTTGTGCAGCGTTTAAAGGGTTAGAGCCCAGATAAAACTTAAAAGGCCCAAACATGAGATGTTTATTACACCCAGGGGCTCCTTACCTAATTAACTGCCTTACAGCTACTTAGGCAGTCCCCTGTCCCCAGGTTGAGTGGGGTTAGCTCATGCCCTTCAGCAGACCCTGTCACTGGTAGGCTGGGCATCTAAGTCTCTTTAACAGGCTAGCCCTATGACAGGGTTGAGGGAACCTTATCTGCTGAGTAACAAGGAAAACCACAACCATCAACTTAACCTGATCCAATGATGGAAGGGCAAGGAATATGTTACGCCCCTCAGTAAAGGAGAAACTAAGAAACAGAGAGAGAAAGCAAAGGGGAGGTCAGGGAACCCACCTGTGGTATTATGGGTAAGAATAAAGCATATGGGAATAGGCCTTTTTGGAGGGATCACAATGTTAACTACCAGCATCCCCATTATGAGAGAGGAAGGAGACCTCATAAATATGCCAGGTGACTGGCAAGTCATAGCTGCCCCTGAAGACCAGTGTTGCCCTCATGGGTAGGTGGGGCAGGGAATCACAGAATAATTACAACATCTCTCTCTCTCGCATACACTGCTTCCAACAACACTTCCCTGCTGATCCTCTCTCACATGCCTATACCATACCCCATCACATCCCTTTAAAACACAAGCTTTCCCCGACCTGCAAGCCATCCTCAGACCACCTTCCCCCTATGTGGAACAAATGTTCTCCATTCCCCTCCCCGCATACTCCCCTTCCGCTCACATCCCTCAAACACACATTCTCCCCTCTCACCAATACCGGATTTGTTCCCTTCCCCCTCAATTCCCTCACACATGATCCCCTCCCCTTCCCAAACACCCTCCCTTCCCCCTTTGCCTCCTTTCACACACATGCTCCCCTCCCGCTTTTACCTGCCTTTCTATCCCCATCCCCATGATCCCCCTGCTGGGAATTCCCTCCCTGCCACCACATCCCCCTCCCCATGGCTACATCCCTCCTCCTGCTGCTGTAACCCCACTCTTTCCCCCTGCTCAGCACTCACCAGTAATATCAGCTCCTTCGTCACCATTTCTCCAGCCTAAAAGAAATGTGAAGAAAGAACTTAACCAGTGCAATACACAAATATATGGAAAATCCAGGCGTTAGAGATATCTATACTAAGACAGGAATAGCCATATAGGAAAAATTACTGATCATCTGGATAATATCTCCTCCTACACCCTCCCTCACACACATTTCCCTCCTTTTCCCTCCCCTTCAGGCCCTGATGCTTTCATGTATTCTTTGTGCACTGGCTGTGCATTTCCAGACCTTACCATGTTTGCATTGTGCTGTGTATAACCTGCACTGTGAATTTACTGGGTTTAGCTAGGTCTACGCTTAAACTGGTAGTGCTTCAGTGTAGCTACTCATTACAGGGGTTCTCCTATCACCATAGTTAATCCACCTGAGAGGTGGTATCTAGATTGACAGAAGAATTATTTCAGGGAATATGGTCGTTGGGTCTCAACTCCCAAAAGAAGTGACAGTGTATTTAAAACCGCTTCCCCCACAGACACAGAGCCAGCGAAAGAGAGAGGCAGGAGTAAGGGAAGGAACTTAGCCTGCCCACGTTTCCATTGGCTATGGTAGCGTCACAGAGGAGATAGAAAGGCATGTATGGTGAAAGGATTATTTGCTAATAATTTGCTCCAAAGTCAGGGTAAAATTGTCTGTTTTTTTGAAGGAGGTCCCCAGCCAATGGGAACTGTGGAGCTGGAACTCAGGATGGGCTGGAGGCAGCGCATGGAGCCCCCTTGGCCATTCCTCCACGTGGGAGCAGCAAGGACATGGCACTGGCTGCAGGGAGCCACCCGAGGAGAGCACCGCCCGGATCCAGCACCCCAAAACCCCTCCCATGCCCCAACCCCCAGCCCTGAGCACCCTCCCGCACCCAAACTCCCCCCCCTCTTAGTTAACTGGAATTTTGGACTTACTGGAACTCCCCATTCCTTCAGCATGCCATATAACAAAGCTTTTACTGTAATTGTTAGATGGGTGTTAGACTCATAACACCGTGTTTAGTGTTTGGACTTTATGAAATGCTTGTAAATTGATGCATGCATTAATCTCACTTATAATATCTGTATCCCCTGCTGTAAAGTAATATTTAAGTGTTTATTCTATAACTGCAAAAATGTTTGCTTTGAAATTGTAAACCCAGTCAAGAAAAAAACATCAACAAGTGTGAAATGCTGGTTTGACCCAGAAGGGGTTATCTCCTGCCCAACATAAGTCCCAGACAGGCCACTGTGGGACAAAAGACTTTGTTGATTGTTCCCCCCTCACCCATGAAGAGGGGCTGGGCAGAAGCGCTCATCCCATTGGTTTGAATACCAGGGGGAAGGGAATAAAAATCTCTGTCATGGAGAAATTCTTATATTTTATGCAGCTTGGACTCTGACAGGGTAAGAACTACCAAACATAGGCAATAAGGTCTCCACGATTAACCTGGGTTATCCCTAGAGGACATATAGAGCTGGCACATTTCAGCAGCTCTATCACCATTTGAAACTGAAGACTGTAACCCCTTTGTGTGTGTGTATGTTTACCTACTTTACCCTTGCAAATATACTCATTTCTTTTTCTTAGTTAATAATTCCTTAGTTAGTTTACTACAGGATTGGCTACAAGCATTGTCTTTAGAGTGAATAAGGTACAAACTGACCTGGGGTGAATGACTGGCCTCTTGGGACTGGGAGTAACCTGAATATTTTGTGATTGTTGGTGTAAAGTTGTTATCATGGATTTGAGGGTGTGCATACCCCAGAATGTGATTAAGCCAATTGCAACCATATTATGTGAATTCAGCTACCATGAATTAATAACATAGAACACCACAGAGTTAAGGGTTAATTGGAAACCAGGCTTTTAGATGTAAGGTCAAACCTAGCTGGCAGTTTCTGTTAATCAAAATGGGAGAAGGGGGAGAAAAGTAAATAACAGAGAATGAAAGAAGATAAGTGGATGGAAGCCTTTAGTCTAGACAGCTCTGATATTAGAAGTTTATTGAGAGTTAGGAAAAATTATAATCCAGTAGTGGTCATTATGACCTAGCTAATAGGGTGTACTTTGGAGCAGTCCTCCAAAGCCATCTTGAGAGATCTTTTCCCTGATATCTTTCTTCCCCAGCAGGCGAGCAACTGGCCACTGTGTACCATCTGTTAATGGCTCAACACCATTCCAGATTTATGGTAAATATCTGGGATGTTCTAAACCTATTGCTTATGTCTGTGTGTGCTTAAATCTAATAAACTGCAGTGTTAAACAAGAGCACGCTTATTTGCATTTAATCTCTAACCAGATGGAATTGCTGTGTTTCCACTGATTTATTCCTGACACCACCTGTAATGAAATAGTTAATTTGCCCCTGCAGTGGGTTCTGAAAACCCCAGGTAACAAGGTGGCCATCTATCACAGAGTCAAGCTTGCCTGGACAGCAAGTTAGATCGGAATGCCCAGGGGGCTGTCAGTGGTTCCAGGTTCAGGCTGTTACAGCACCTGAGGAGTTCACACTTGTTACTTGGTTGGTGGAATCTAAGTACAGAACTACAACCAGTTTGGGGTGTCTGCCCTGCTTCTTAACAGTCTGCCCTGAGTTGGCATTCTTGATGGTGAGCCACACCAGACAGTGTTACAAGCTCTTTCCTCATGTCGTGCTTCCACGGGGGGGGCCATGGGCCACTGGGACCAGGTGATGGGTTAGGAGGGGGAGGCAGCCCAGACCAGCAGTTGCCACCTGCCCTCTCTGCACACCCAGGGAGCTGCTCTGGCAGCTTCCAGCCATTCCCAGTGCAGTGTGTGGTGCTGCTTATGCTTTGCTAGTTGCCCATAAGAACATAACATGTGTAAGGGAAAACTGAGTAGGCCCAAACTTTGACCAAGATAACTTAAAAATAACTGTGTACAAGGGGAAGGAAAAGAGAAAAAAAATGAAAATTGCCTGTCTTGTGAAATGTAACTGTAATTGCTAGAAGCCTTAACTGCAAAAGTACAACCTGATAATAAACAGGAAAGCTTGTTGCTTTCGTATTCCTAATAAGGAGCTGTTTTTCTGTTTAAAAGGATATTACGAATGAAAAGTGTGTTTGACTAAATGTGGTTTTAAGCTATATAAGCTTCTGTGTTCCTTTGTTAGACAGACCAGCTAGGCTGGCTGTGTCTTCCTGCATGCTTGTAATAATGTGGGCCTCAGGCTGTTCTGATCCAAACACAACGCGTGGTTAATTTTTCCACCACACATGAGATCATAAGAACAGCCATACTGGGTCAGACCAAAGGTCCATTCAGCGCAGTATCCTGTCTTCCCACAGTGACCAATGCCAGGAGCCCCAGAGGGCATGAACAGAACAGGTAATCATCAATCCATCCTCTGTCCCCCATTTCCAGATTCAGGCAGAAAGAGGCTAGGGACACCATCCCTGCCCATCCTGGCCATTCATGGACCTATCCTCCATGAACTTATTTAGTTCTTTTTTTAACCCTATTATAGTCTTGACCTTCACAACATACTCTGGCAAAGAGTTCCACAGGTTAACTGTGCATTGTGTGGAAAAAAAAATTCTTCCTTTTGTTTTAAACCTCTTGCCTAATAATTTCATTTGGTGACTCGCCCCCCGGTTCTTGTGTTATGGGAAGAAATAAATAGCACTTCCTTAACTACTTTCTCCACACCAGTCATGACTTTATAGACCTCAATCATATCCCCCCTTAGTCGTCTCTTTTCCAAGCTGAAAAGTCCCATTCTTATTAATCGCTCCTCATACTGAAGTCATTCCATACCCCTAATAATTTTTGTTGCCCTTTTCTGAACATTTTCCAGTATATCTTTTTTGAGATGGGGCAAACACATCTGCACTCAGTATTCAAGATGTTGGCCTACCATGGATTTATAGAGAGGCAATATGATATTTTCTGTCTTATTTTCTATCCCTTTCTTAATGATGGCCAACATTCTGTTCACTTTTTTGACTGCCGTTGAACATTTAACCAATGTTTTCAGAGAACTATCCACCACTCCAAGATCTCTTTCTTGAGTGGTAACAACTAATTTAGACCCCAGCATTTTATATGTATTGTTGGAATTCTGTTTCCCAATGTGCATTACTTTGCATTGATCAACATTGTATTTCATCTGCCATTTTGTTGCCCACTCACCTCGTTTTGAGAGATCCTTTTGTAGCTCTTTGCAGTCTGCCTGGGACTTAACTATCTTGAATAGGGTTTTTTTTAATCATCTGCAAATTTTGCCACCTCACTGTTTACCCCTTTTTCCAAATCAGTCATGATTGTGTTAAATAGGACTGGTCCAAGAGTACAGACTCCTGGGGGATACCACTATTTACTTCTCTCCATTCTGAAAACTGACCATTTATACCTACCTTTTGTTTCCTATCTTTTAACCGGTTACCAATCCACGAGAGAACCTTCCCTCTTATCCCATGATTGCTTACTTTGCTTAACAGCCTTTGTTAAAAGACCTTGTCAAAGACTTTCTGAAAATCTAAGTACACTATATCCACTGCATCCCTCTTGCCAAGGGGTTGTTGACCCCCTCAAATAATGCTAGTAGACCAGTGAGGCATTATTTCTCTTTACAAAAATCATGTTGACTCTTCCCCAAAAAATTATGTTCATCTATATGTGTGACAATTTTGCTCTTTAGTATAGTTTCAGCAAGTTTTCCAGTACTGAAGTCAGGCTTACTGGCCTGTAATTGCCAGGATCACCTCTGGAGTCCTTTTAAAAAATTGGCATCACATTAGCTATCCTCCAGTACAGGCCCAGTATGTGAGATTCTGGGGTTGCCCACATTTCCCTGAGGAACACTGGTGAGAGAAGAAAAAGGGTGATTCTTAACCCTTTGCAGCTCAGCTAAATCTGAAGGGAATTACACAGGACAAAGGAAAGGCACCTTCATTAGTTCACGGCAGTACCCACTGTTGAATATCCAAGGTTGTTTCAAACTGAGGTGTGAGAGCTTCTCACAGAAAAGATTCCAGGGATCCTTTATAATTTGGAATCGAAAGTGTTTGGCAGCACAAACCTAGAGACTCGCTGCAATGGAAAAAAGGTCATTCCCCCCCCCCCCTTTCTCTCACCCCTCCCCAACGGTAAAGAACAAAGGGACATGGTGTCAGGTTTCTTTGTTGAGATGAGCAAGGTGCAGACACACAGGGCACTGGGATTGGGAGACAAAGGGGACAGAGACAACAGGGATGAAGGACACAGAAGCAGGGCACGGCAGAGCCCTAACTTATTCCCCCTGCCTTCTGCCTCTCTCACCCTAACCCAAGCACTTTCAGATTCTGTGCTTCAGGTGACTAATCAATTGTTACCTTTTTTTGAAAAGGCTGCCTGCTGTCTCTGCAGATACTGCCTGGGAGCACTGTACCCCTGAGTGGTAAAAAAAATAAAATCTCCCGCAGGAGTCAGGCTTTGCTGGACTTGCTGCAGGGGGCTACAGAGAAAGACAGGGATCGCTGGTGCTGAAGGCCCAGTTTTGGAGTTGTGTAGGCCCGGGCCTGTCCTGTGGAACTGTGAGGGTCCTTAGGGATCAGGACAATAATGGGGTCACTTCCTAGGGTATAGCCAGGCATAGACCAGAACCTGTGAATATGTGACATGGTGTTGGAGGATGAAGGGGCCTGGGCTCTGGTGCAGCCAGAGGGCGAAGGGCCGATAAAAGCTGCTGGCAATGTGCTAGTCCCAGGAAAGCTCCACCCAGGGTCTCTGCTGTGAGCATCACTGATCAAGGCAGGGACAATTCAGCAGAGACCCAGCTAGGGCCCAAGCCCATTAGATGGGGAGAGGGTGCAGGGGACTTTGCCAATGACTCCCCGAAGCTCTGGCTTAGGCCCTAGGTGGAGGCTTGAGCTCAGCAAGGCAGCCTGGGACAGAGTCTGGAGAGTAGCTGGGAGACCAAAGGAAGAGCTTTTCACAGACCCACGCCCTCTGCCCTGCCCAGCCCTGCCTGGTCCTGCATCCCCTGCTGCTGCACAAACACTCATCTCACAGGGGTAATTACCTGGGGTTCCTGCCTGGAGCATCTCTTTGTCTGAGGAGATTCTTTGGAGATCTGGTGCAAACAAACAGCATTAAAATCCAACAAGTGCAGCTCCCTTCACCCTCCCCTGACTGTCTCACAGGCAGCAGGTCCATTGTGGAGGAGGGATGCTAGAAGGTGGAGGGGGCTGGATTCCAATAAGGCAGGGGGAAAACAGTGGACTAAGGTTCGTTCAGTCCTGCCTTGTAGATCAGTGGAGAAGGGTCTCGGCTGGCTGCTCTGGGGAAGGGTCGATGGGATGGTTATAGGATGGGAGATCCCCTATGGTGAGGTGATGAGTAGGAACAGAAAGAGACCAAGGTTGATACAGGAGCCAGCCTGGGGCTGGAAATAATGAACAGGGACCTAGTGTGTCCCCAGCCCTCTCCTAATTCTGCCCACGCATCCCCCCTGCTAATGATACAATCTCAGCCCAGGCCCAGCTACATACCTGTGACTCCGTATGTTCAAATAATGGTTCTTCCTAGAAGGCAAAACAAGGGGCACAGGACACAATTACACCCACAGTAACAACTGCAACAACAGCGGCCTCTGGATCACCTCTGGCCTCTATTAATACTACCCCTTCTCCCCAGCCTCCCCATTGACCCTCCCTCTGTCCCTAATCCTCCCCCTCCCCAAATCCCCTTCCCCTCTCTCTATTTCCTCCTGTCCTTCTCTGTGCCCCCTCCCCTTCCTCCACTCCTCTGCCCTCTCCCCATGCACCCTCCAGTTCCTGTAATCCCTCCTGCTCCCTCCAAGATGCCTCCCCTCCCTCTATTTCTTCCTCCCTGACCCCATGCTCCCTCCCCACTCTGTATTCCCTCCTTCCTCTCCCTGTGCCCCCGTCCAGCCTTTTATTCACTCTGCCCCATCCCCATACCTCTCCCCTCCCTTTATTCCCTCCTCCCCCCCATATCCTTTCACTTCCCTCCTCTCCTCCCCATGCTCCTTCCCCAACCTCTATTCCCTCCTGCCCCCTCCCCTACCCCTTCCCATGATCCGTCCCCTCCCTCTATTCCCTTCTGCCCCTCCCTTTATTCCCTCCTCCCCCTTGCCCATGCCTCCTCCAGTAACACTATTACTTCCTTCTGTCCCCTTGTCCTCTCCTCTCCATTTCCTGTTCCCCCTTCTGATTCCTTTCCCCTCCCACTGTTCCCTCTTGTCTCTTCCTGTGCTCCCTCCCTTCCCTCCTGACCCTCCCCGCACCCCCACCTTCCCTCTTTTCCTTTGAGACAAAATCAAAACAGTGATATACCGTATCAGTTTCCTCAAGTAATTCTTGACTTTTCATGGCAATCCTAGGAGGAAACAGAGATGAGAGGGGATCGTGTTTCTCTGCTCATTGAAGTCTGAACATCTCTGGCGTTTAAGGGCAGGTCTACACTACAGAGTTACTTCAGTATAACTTCATTGTTCAGGGGTGTGAAAAGTCCACACCTCTGAGCAACATAGTTATACCGACTTTAACCCCCAGTCTAGACAGGGCTATGTTGGCAGGAAAGCTTCTCCCACAGACATAGCTACCACCTCTCACAGAGTTGGATTAACAAAGCAAATGGGAGAGCTCTCTCCTTTCCGTGTAGAGCATCTTCATTAAGTGTTACAGTGATGCAGCTGCGCCAATGCAGCACTTTAAGTGTAGACTTGCCCTCAGTCAGCATCAGCTGGTGCAGTCATTGCCTGTCCAGACAGCCAGAGCCTCAGGGCCTGGAGAGACTCATACCCCCATAATCTCCTGGAATCACACACCCCCAGCAGGGCTTGCTTGTGTCAGCTGTTGGACACAGCTCACAGCTTTCCCCAAACCCCCCTCACCACACAGGCTGCTGGAACTGCATACACCCAGCAAGGCTGGCATGTCTGAGTCGTTGGATACAGCCTCTGTATATCTCCTTCCCCCATCACAGCCCCACTGCCATCTTGTACTTCCCACAGGGCTGCAGACAGGTAGCAAGGACTGCCCAGAGACTCCTTCCCCTGGCTGGCCCAAGGAGCACCCATGTGGTGGGAGAGAAGGCAGGAGACCAGCTCCCTGCTCCCACTCAGTGCCCCCAGCTGGTGCCCAGCTGCCGTGGAGCTCCCAACTACACCAGTGCCCTCCCCTAGAGCTCCAGGGCTGTGGGCCAGAATTGGGGGGACAGGGGCACAAGGGGGGGTTAAGGGAAGCCTAGTGGAAGCTGCTTTGGGCTCAGGGAGGGCCCTGAGGTCTTGGAGGGGTTTGCCCAGCCTAGGGTTTCCAGGTGTGCGGTTTTCAACCTGAATGCCCAGTTGAAAAGGGACTCTGGCTGCTCTGGTCGGCACTGCCGATCGGGCCATTAGATGTCCGGTCAGCAGTGCAATGGGGTCCTGGGGCTAAGGCAGGCTCCCTCTCTGTTCTAGCTCCCCGCGACTCCTGGAAGCGGATGCCAGGGCCCTGTGGCCCTTAGGTGCTGGGGTGGCCAGGGAGGCTCTGTGCGCTGTCTCCTCCCTGGTGTGTGGATCAAATGGAGGGGCTGCAGGAGCTGATGTGCCTGCGGCTGAGAAGTTTGGATCATGTAGCCTATAGGATTAGCCTGCTTGCTTGCCTTAGGCTGGGTCTACACTACCCACCTGAATCGGCGGGTAGAAATCGACCTCTCGGGGATTGATTTATCGTGTCCCATCGGGACGTGACAATCGATCCCCAAATTGACGCTCTTACTCCACCAGCGGAGGTGGGAGTAAGCGCCGTCGACGGGAAGCCACAGAGGTCGATTTTGCCGCCGTCCTCACAGCGGGGTAAGTTGGCTGCGATACGTCGAATTCAGCTACGCTATTCACGTAGCTGAATTTGCGTATCTTAAATCGACTCCCCCCTGTAGTGTAGATGTAGCCTTATGGTTCAATTATTTGTTTTATTGTAATAGGTGTATAGGTTTATATTAAAGTAGTTTGGCTGCAACGCAAGGGACCTACAGGCCATATCCTGTATGTTGAGCTAAGGCAAAGTTAGCGTATCTATGTCTGGGATCTTTCACCCAGATAGCAAAGTCAATATACATATGTTTGGGACCTTTCACCTAGATAGATAGATAATGGGCAGAATGGCATAGGGGGTTTCTGAGTCTGTACCCTCAAACTTAACAGGTACACCACAAGGAAAGAACCAAAATAACCGAGAGAACAAAAATAACACGTGAGAATGATCTAATGCCATTAATATGTATGTACATGTCATCAGTACGTACAAACATACCAGCCTATGGAGTAAGTGACCCTAACATTTTTGTGGGTGAGGAAATGAAGTTTGGGCATAGAAGGAGGGCTCAGGCACCCATGCCCTATAAGAGAGGTGACCCACCTTGCTAAGGATCCTGTGCTTGTTTTTCTTAAACTTTCTAAGTTCCAAGGAGACTAGGCGTAGCTTGGTTTCCCTAAGTTTGTGTTCTTAGTTTTGTTTATTAGGTTTTAAGTTTAAGTTAGTTAAGCAAACTCTAAGTTAGCTTTGATAGCTCTTAGCTCCAGCTTCTTCTAAGCTCTGCACCTCCCACTCAAAAATTGAGGAACCTGAACTCTTTTCACCAGAGGCGAGGCTGATCCGGTGTCTCTCACAACCAGGTTATCAAGGAAGGGTGTGAGTATATTAACCAAAGCTTTGTTACATATAATACCACATGTACCTTTTGAATAGCAGTAATACAAGTGTAACTTTGTAACTCTGATTATTTTACCATTTGATTGCACTGGTCTACAATTTTTGAGACGTCGTCTGCTTCAGAGATAAAATGTGCTATTTATTATGTATTTTGATGTGCTGAATTCAAATATGACAATTAAAACAACTGATTGCTACTGTTTCTAAGATATTTACGTTTTTACATTTTATGTCTATGTATATGGTGTAGATA